GAAAACTACATCATAAAAAAAAAAAACAGAAACAAAGATAAGTATTAAAAATAGAAAACAAACAAAGAAAAAGTTAGTTGGTTTTTTTAGAGTGAGTTGAAGTTGGTTGTATTGATTAAGGGTTATTGTACCCTGAATAAGTAATAGTATAGTATTGTATATATTTAGGTTGAGAGAAGTGTTTTGTGTAATAAGAATTTGTATTATTGTATTGGATAAGATTTCTGTAATATTTAAAGAGTTTAATGCATTTGAGATTTCATTAGTGAGAGTGTTTTGTGGATTGTAAGAATGAAGTGAGCATTGGAATAAGTGTTTAGTGCTTTCATATTAATTGCAATATGAGCAGGGCTGATGATTTTCTGCAGTGACAATTGGTCAATTCCATCTGCGCTAAAATACCAATTCTGCAAATCAAATTGATAAATTCTGCACAGTTTTTGTGCTATTTCTATAGATTTTGCATGATTTCTGTGCCACTTTTTTTAAAGCATAAAGAAAAAAAAACAAGACATCACTAGTTAAATTGTTAAAATTTAAATGCCATCACTATTTAAATCTTTAATTTAAATGCTATTGTTATTTAAATTGTTATTAAAATACAACATGTTTAAACTTTGTAATGTTTTTTCACTTAAACTTTGACGATTAGTATCTAAAATCGTATTGTATTTTGAAAAGCTTCTTTTTACTGCGTAAGAAAAAGCTGGTAACCAAATATAGTCAAATGCAATTTCAGACAAGTGAGGTAAAGAATCGGCCATATTTAACCAAAATTCATCTAATGTAATTTTTTTAAATGCTATGTTATATTTCAATCCACAATAAATCGACCATTCATGCAATAGTTCGTTAGATGGATTAGATAATTCTTGTATGATTGAGTAATTGCGAATGTCTTTCTTTGTAATGTCACCAAGATGAAAAAATTTTGGATTGAATACTTGAGCCGCAAAAAACAATGGTCTGCCAGGATGAGAAGGAATATGGGTGGAAAATTTTTTGTATACAACACTAAAGGCACCACAGAAAATAGAATAAAATTCAGCAGGTTGAAAAAATTTTGATACAATTAATGTATCTAACTCAGGACCAAAATATTCAGCATTCATATTGATTTCAATGTAAGCAGTAAGTTGTTCAAGTTGACTTTCGACTAGAGGAAATACAGGTTTTTCTTGCTAAAAAAAATCTAAAATTTGTATAAATTTTTGTAAAAAAATACCAATAAAATTAATATAAATCATAATAAGTCCAAGTTCTTCAGGATTTGATAATAATGATGTAATGATTTCTAATGCATTAGTTTCGTCATTCTTGTATTCATCTTGAAAAAATAAAAGCCAATAAACAATATGGTCTTTTGCATATAAATCATTTCAAACCAAGAATTCCATCTTGTTATAACAGAAAGAGGACTTTTTTTGATGATATAATTCTATGAAACTTTAAGTGATCTAAATAATGATGACGACATGCTGGGCTTTTTGAAAATAATTCTTTAATTTTAGCCAATAGTGTATTGACTTGAGAAAAGTGAACATAAGTACACCAAGTATTGCTATATAAAATAAAATATATAGTAATTAATATTATTATTGTTAATTATTACAATTAAATATATATAGAAGTAATGATTTTTGCGATAATATTTATTTATTTTTAAAAATAAATAAATAATATTGTAAAAAATCATCATCTCTAAATATATATTACTTTACCTGATTAAATGTAAAATATGTGCGCAACAAGGTATATGGATTAATTGAGGCATTACAGTATGCAAAACATCTTGATAACATTTTTTCATATATGCAGCTAAATCTGACAAAAAAACATGAGGAAAAGTAAACAGAATATCATATTTTACAAGAATTTGAAAAAGAGTTTGTCCCATTGTACAATTATTAACTTGGGTAAGAAAATTAACTGAGACCAATCTTGTACTATTTTTATATACGAATATAGTATTAACTATACTTCGTGAACAGCTGTCTGTTGTTTCATCCATAATAATTGCTACATGTTTTTGTTTAAAAAAAGATTTAAGATTTTCTAAATGATTAGAAAAAACTTGAGGAAGATATAATTGGCATAGTGTAGATGCTTGTGGAATAGCTCCACCTTCTTTACAATATTTTTTAAAAAAAGAATGTAAAAAATTAATTTTTTCTATAGGAATGTTAGCTGCTACAAAAGACTCAATTAAGTCGGTTAAAAAATTTTTTTTTGATTTACAAGATGAAAATGATGTAATAATAGTTTGTTGACATTGCTTATTTTTTTGTAAAGCTTTATTCAATTTATGGGTTTTACTATTCAGATGGTCATTAACTGTTGATTTGCAAGACTACTCAATAAAGTGGTCACAAAAATTGCAAAATAAAGTACTATCATCCACTCTAAAATCTTCTGGATATTCTTCAACCCTAGTATAGACTGTAACTTTGCCTTGTTTTTTACTTATTATATTTGCAACTTTTTAAAATATATGATCTGGAAAGTGGTAACAAAAAAATATATAAATTTTTTTTATTAAATTTTGATCCTTTTATAATTTTATAGAACTTTTCATCTAATCTCTTTTACAGCATAGAAAATTATCATATTATTGGAGTTCTTTTTTTCTTGCTATTTTCTTTGATCCATCTTATTGTTTATTTGTGAATTCAAATCATTTTCAGTATTTGCTTTAGCTTTTTATGCATTTTAACACAGCCCTTCATACAATTTCATCATGTTTAGTAGTATTACCTTTTTCTTGTTCTGCATGACTATGAATTTTTATTACCTGACTTTTTAGATTAGTTTTTCCAGACCAATTATCACTCAGAATCACAAAGATTAGTCATGTGTAAGTGAAACTCCCACTTTCTGTGACAATTCTGTAGTGACTGTAACAATTTCTGCATTTCTAGTCCTATTCTATGATTTCTGCGGTATTCTGTGAAATGCAAAAAATCATCGGCCCTGAATATAAGCAATTTGGAGTTAAATAAAGGAGAGAATAGCAGGTATGAAGATTTGATATTGTAGGTAAATTATTGAGAAGTATTTTGTTTCTAATGGAATATAGTTTGAGATTGGAGTTTTGAGAATTAATAATTTCAGTTAATAATAGAATGTTTATAGTTGAAAGGTTTCATAGTAGTTTGAGTTAAAGGAGTTTGTTAAATGTTTGTATTGAAATTAGGTTTTTACAGAATTTACATAGTTTGTATGTGATTAGAATTTCTTTTCAGGAAAAATAAGTAGATAGGTAAAAATAATTAAGATTAAATTTTAATTTAGTCTTATTGGCACCTTGTTTGGCAAGAGAATTGGTTATATTATGTAAAGTATTTTTTGAATGTGATTTAACTTTATGTGTAGTATAATTAATGTTTTTGAATTTTATTAAATAATTAAGTATATGTATAATATCTCAATTATTTTGTTTAGTTTGTGATTTGTAGTAGTAGAGTAGTGTATTAGAGACTTTTTCTGATCTTTGTTCAGTAAGCATAATAATAATTTTGTCTTTTCTGTTAGGTATTATATATGTTTTGCTTAACTAATTAAAGAATATTTTGTTGTGTATACTATTTATTGCCCAGTATATTCTTTTTATGAAAATTGCCAATAGACTTTTTACATGCTCTTCTAACTTTATATTCTATTTATAGCTATATATTTTTTGCTTAGCTACTAGAACTTTCTATATATATATATTTTTTTATATAGTATTTCATTTATTTGTTATATAATATATTTAACTATTTTAGTCTAGTATTCTGTATATGTTTATTGTTGTTTTGCTATTATATGTTTTTGTGTAATATAAACAAATCTATATATAGGCTTTAGCAAAATTTTATCACAGTTGTTGTTTTTATAAAAATTTTTAAAAAAATTTTTTTTTTTTATAACTATCTATCTAGTTTTGTAGTAAACTTCTTTTAAATACTTGTTTATTATTTCTATATTGCTGTTTTTTTTTACTTAATATTGTTTAGGAGTTTTCTATTGCCAATTTGATAAAAATTTTATTTTTTCTTTTAGCTATTTTTGTGTTTAAGTGATCATTAGAAAGAGTGAAATTAATTGAAAATTTATAATTTATATAATTACAAAAACTTTAAAGTTATTATCAAAAACTTTACAATATATACAAATAAATTTTTTTTAGTTTTTTTTTTTTAATCTTTGGCAGTCTTGTTGATCACTTTTATTAAAAATCTTATATATATAATTTTGTACAAAATTGGCTTAAATCTGGTTTAATATCTCTTAGCTGCTTTTATGAATGCCTAGAAGAAGTCTGCTATACTGGCCAGAAAGCTATACTAAGCTAGCTATTAGAGCTATAGAAGAATAACCTTACTTTTCTTTCTATATAATTAATAACTGAACCTAACTAAAACCTTTGTATTTTCTTTTTTTTTTCTTGTTTTCTTTCTTTTATAGTTTGGCCTTGATTTTCTTCTATAACTCTTTCATCTATTTTTTTTATTAGATTGCTAACTGTATTTATTACTTCTTAAACTGTTTTGTTTCTTTTTTTGTCTGTAAAACTAATTCTATTTGCTTTTTCTCAGTTAATAACTGTCTTACAATGTTTTTTCTATATATTTTCAAAGAAACTATTATATGCTTTATTTGTTTATATTGTTATAAATTTTTTAGCTTCTTTAAAAGTTTGAATAAGGCTTTGTATTGTTGTTTTGAGTTTTTTTTGAGTTAGCTTTTTCATGCTTTTGGATCTATATTCTTTTTTCTCTTTTGCTAAATTTCTCTATAAAATTTCTGTTAGTTTCAATTTGCTTGTTCTCTTTTGGGTTTCTTTTAAAAATACTGTCTAGACAAATTTATAGTTAAAATTTTTGTAATAGCCTATCCTTTTTTATGACCTTTATATATTGCTAAATAATCTTGATCTTCTTTTTGGTCTTTATTATATAGAATACAGTATAATTTTTTGTATATATTTGGATGTCTTATTACTAGAGTTTTTAGTACTAGTAGTTTTTTATTAATACATTTGATTAGAGTTGCAATTTCTTTATTTTTTTTTATACTTGTACATTTAACTCCACTTTGATTTCTAATTTTTTTTTATAGTAATAACCAGTCATGCTCTTCTTTTTCTTTATTTAGTTTTAATTTTTAGACTATTAATATAAACCTCTATTTTGAGCCAATTTTAAAATCTAAAATGTCTTTAACAAATTGCCTTGTTGGCTTTTTTATGAATATTTCTTTCCAACAAAGTGATACATTTAAACTAAATAGTGACATAACTATAATTTTATCTTTATATTCTATACTACTTTCTTCTTTTACTATTTTATCTACTCTAGTATTCTATTTATTATCACTATGTCTCTTAACTTTAACTAGTTCCAACTCTAACTCTTTTAATTTGAGTAACTTTATTATATTTCTTTTCATGTTATGATTCTTTTTTTTAATCTATTGTCTGCTTCTTTTTAGCTTTTTTTCTCTTTTAAGACCTAATATTGCTACTGCACTATCTGTATAAATTTTAATCCTTCTTTTTTTTGATATTATTAATAATACTAAACAATTAGCTAGTAGCTCTAATTTTGTTAATAAGAGCCAATTTTGGGCACCTATAGCACTTTCATCAATTATTTTTCTTTTTTTGCATCAACTTGTATTCAGTCTGCTTTCATATAATCAATATCTGAAACATTGTTTGTTACTACTTTTTTGAGTGAACTATCTATATAAACAATAAGTTTTTTATTTAAATTTAATTGGTTTTTTTGATTCTTAAAAATAAGAAGTTCTTTTAGCTCTTTGCTTAGCCACTATTTTTCAATTAATTCTATATCTAAATCATAATATATTATATCTTTAAGCTAAGATTCAGACTTATTTATTTTAGTTCTGCTTTTTTGCTACTAGCTATATATTATTTTTTTGTTTATTATGAGTAGTAGGTCTTTATTTTTTCTGATAAATCTTAATAGTAAACCTTGAACTTCTTCTTTATTACTCTATTTTCTATAACTTTTAAGTTCTCTTATATGATCAAGACTACATCTTTTATATTTTTTAAGAACTTGGTTTGTTTTGCTTTCAACTAATTTAATCTTCTAGTGTTCTGTAAGTACTTATTTTGATATGTTCATAACCAGTATTGTCATGTTTACTATGTTCAAGACTTTTTTTGCCTTTGTTCACATCTAAATATCTACATTATTCATAATTGTTCAAAGAAATTTTAGATTTAAAATTTAATAAATTAGTTTAAAAAAGATATGATTATATATTTTTTATAGTTTTGAATATTTTTATTTAAAAATTAAAATAGATTATCTTAATAAAATTTTAAGTAATTTAGATTTGTTTTTTTGTCCAAAATTGTTTACAATTGTCTACAATTTGTTCA